TGCGGAAGGTGCCATGTGTGTCGCGGCCTCGCTTCCCTCGCACACGGCCTTGGGCACCTGGACCTTCACGTCGCCCACGGTGGAAGTCTTCGCTGCAAAAACGAGAAACAATAATATGGGAATACACGCTAGTCGCTGTCAACTCACGCAGCAGCTAAACACACGGAACGCAGCGACGACAACAACAATAACAACAACAACACAAGCTCTTCACCTGCGGCCCATGTGCTGCTTGTCCCTGGAGAGCGCCATCTGCATCTCCATCAGGTTCGGCAGCACGACGATCGCCTCCCCCGCCCCCCTACCGTCCGCTCTGGTTACCATAACCACGTCTAAGGGCACAAGCCCTGTACGCAGAGAGAGAGAGAGAGAGAGAGAGAGAGAGAGAGAGAGAGAGAGAGAGAGAGAGAGAGCACAGCGCGGCGGCACAGCAGCAGCGTCGACGGAGGGACCGCACGGACGAGACAAGAAATTGATTTCAGAACAAAATATAACAACATCTCGCCCGCGTGTAACCGCCGGGTGCAAGGCGCCAAAGTCAGCAGGTAATGCCCAAGCAGTAGCAGCAGCAGCAGCAGCAGCAGCCGTGCTCGCGTAAATAAAAAAGGATGAGCATTTTGCCGAGAAGAAGATGTGAAGAACGTTAACGGACGTGGCGACAACAGAGCGGACACAAACGCCGGTAGTTCTGCATAGAGCGCGCGTGCCTCGGGAAAAAAAGCCGAGCACAAACCAGTACATGAGCGGTACCATGGTACATGATACCAGAACGTGCTAGATTTAACATCGATGGGTGGTACGAGGAAATAAAAAGTGCATGTACCTACACCATTTGACCAGCAGTTGGGGGCGAAGTGAGGGTCAAGACAGCAATACAAGTGGTGATGGAAAAGGTTTCAACGCGTTCACGTACCGCCGTAGGTTGCACGAAAATACTGGATCGACTGTCAAAGCCCGACTATTCTGCAGCAAAATCGAAAACGGTACATAGCCAAAAACGAATGGGCGTAACGTAGACCCTTCCCGTTGAGAGCTTTCCGAATCTTAATCTTGGCATCTTCTTAATTTGTCGTGTAGTAATCGAGCTTTGAAAATCGGTGCAGCCGGGGTGGCAATCTTATATATTATGCCACGTTCGGTACTGTGTCTAGATGCATACCCTGGAAGAAGCGGAGGACGTCGTCGATGGTGGCCTCGAAGGGCAAGCCACGCAGCCTTACACACGGGAACGGCCCGAGGACATCTTCCAATGAATCTGACACCGACAAAAAGAGGGGGGGGGCGAGAGAGATCATTTGACGTGGTTCGGATGCAACGAAAGGCACCGCTTCTTGCGTACACGGCAGCTGGCGCAAGTTTACTTGTGGCTGATAGGTAAAACGTAGCGCAACGGTCAGTGAACAAACAAAAAAAAAAAAGTCACCCCACCATGCTACGGGAAGTCGCTTACGAAACCACAACAGACCCGCCGACCAGGGTCTCCAAACACGTGAGCACCGTGGTGGCCAACAACACCCGACAGTGACAAAACTATGCATCACACCGTCACGCAGCCTATCCTTAGCGAAGACAGCCAACGGGGGGAGGTGTTTGCTTGAGCTTCTGCCTCGTTCATTGCACAGCCGCCACCCACACGGCCTCACGATGCCTCACACGCACACACACACACACACGGGCACGACAGAGCCTCCGTTAAGACGGCGGGGGCCCACACGGCGCTGTACTGTACTGTACTCTCTGTCTTCCTGTCACGACGTGAATTAATGAAGACGACTTACGCTAAAAGTGTTCACGCTCGTTCGTGTGTGGTACGGCCGTCTCTTTGCCTCCCTACCTGCCGTACACCATCTAACAGCACAAGAGCATCAACGCGATTCCCCCAATGGTGCTATCTATCGCTCTAGTGGGATTGGTTGCTCTCCCACGCCGGACAGTGAAAAACCGGGATTCCAAGCCGTAAAACACCCGCTGCGGTGCATGCGCTTTCAGAGCGCTACAGGCCAACAGTAACATTCTCCCTCTGGTGGAAGGGAAAATATGATAAGGTCATCGACGCTTGGCTGGAGTTGATGTGGTATCGAGGCATCGCCTCTGCCTGGTGACAGATTATACCATCCTGCACGTTTCTGAGATCCAGGGGGGGAATATAGGAAACAAGCCTTCAACAAAAAAAAAGCATGTCCATTTTCTGGAGATCTGAGTGATCGACTCAAGAAGATTATGGTGGCATTCTCAGAAGCCGTCCACGGAAAGAAGGCTCCTTGCTCAGAAAAACGAGACCATAACGCCGATTTCACGGTTTTATGTCCGTCCATAGATACGGGTCTGTGAAAAGAAAATGAGCCAATCGGCCAAAGGGGAGGTACACAAGCGCCAACCAACATACACATCGAAATACGGAAGGGCCCACACAATCTTTGAATCTTGCGGGTGGACCCGTTGTAAGCGAAAATTACACGGGTGTCGCGTGCGCAACAAACCTCCAACACAAACAAGGTACCATGTTTCACAATAGCAGCATTTGTACAAGAAGCGAACGCGTACACGTATCGGCTTCCTATCCTCTGCAGATTGCACGTCTGAACCGCCGTGCCGTATCGTACAAATACATTATGGAGGGTTAGGAATAGCGTTGGGGTTAGGGCTGCTGAGAGCATAACTAGTGTACCTTGTTAAAGAGAGTAGGGTGTGGAGTGGTAGGGACAACCCCGGCCTATCCCCACAGGACGGCAACCTGCATTCCCCCTGACGAGGTTCCCGCCCCCACGGTTCAGACATGAGTTTCCCAGATACAAAGCCAACTTCCCGTTCTTACATGGTCGTGCAACACGAGCATTCAACAACCGCAACCTTGCAACCTTAAATAATCTACTTGCTCCTTCATAACCATACCGTAGGTGACACAAGGTATCACACCCGCCGGACCGATTTTCACGGCTCGAGTGCTCCACGACCATGACCAAGAGGATACAGCAATCAAGCGGCGATACGTTGTCGAAAAGCTTTTGACGAGACAACGCTTCCAACGCTGTCATTTCCGGAACCGCCATTCTGTCCTCTGTCGAGTAATCGGGCGTTGAAAATCACTCCAAGGGGGTGTGACATGCCACCTACGGGAACGGCCCTCAAGAAGGTTTGGGCAAGAACTGCTGTGTCTATTGTATGTGTGTGCTAAATACGGCGGCATGACCGACGGTCGAACAACGAACAAAAATCACAGATGATCTACCGGTACAGGGCAATATTTCGTGTGTGCGTGTGTGTGTGTTCTTCACAAATGGGCGTGGAACGCGCTGATCACCAGACCAGTGAAGGGTCGCCAGCCTTCAGCGGGATACACGTGCAATCGCGAACACGCCTCTGTGTGCCTTCCCTCTGCATAGAATCGAACGCGCAAATCGGCCTCCCTACCAATGAGGAGACGTCAGTCTTACAGTAGTGCGGCTGAAAGCATGACAAGATTCTAAAGGTCGTGATGTCTGTGTGTACGTGTGGGCCATGTAGATCAACGCAAAGCAGAACGAGCCAACCGGCTGACCAATGAAAAGACGGCAAGACGCCACCCCTAGCGAGCCAAGAGAGAAAAGGTCCAACCGGGTGGTAGACCTGCTGCCAGCATGTGCGTGAAAGCGTCGGCAATGCATCACAAAAATCTGTACCCGACTACTCACAGTCTCCCATGCTCATTGTGGACATAGCACCACCTCCCATCATGCCTGCTCCCTGGACGTTCCCATGCCCCACCCCGACCCCCACCCCTCCCATGCCCTGCCCCATGCCCTGCCCCATGCCTTGACCCATCCCTTGACCCATCCCTTGACCCATCCCCTGACTCATTATCCCTTGCTGGGGGGCCATTTGCTGCGGTACCTTGAGACGGGTGGAACGTGTGCGAAGGGTCCACGCAGAATGAAAAAAAGAAAAAGAAAGGAAACAAAAATCAGACAAGAAACAGACAAGAAAATATGAGAAACGGGGCTCAAAGGAAGCAAACAGTCCGTACGTGCTCTTACTGGCGGCCTTGCAACTCGACCAATTTCGCCGAACCGCGTTACATGCCTTCCCGAGCTGCATTTGAGTTCCGTCCGGCCACGCTTGGCTACTTGACTGAGGTCTACTGCTGTGCCTACTACCTTGCCATTGACGGTTCCGACTGCCTCGCGAACGTGGGGTCCTCACGAGTCGTGCCGTACGGCAAATACCGCGGGAGACCAAACCGCACCGCGTGCAAAACCAATACTATCGCGGGAAAACTAGCTTGGTTCAACGTGAGGTTGAAGGCCGGATCACGTGAACACGACAGCAGAACACGTCATTCGATCTTCTTCACTTCGCGAGTCAAGCCGTGCGACACCGTGAAAAGCGATCCGTCCCAACACATCGCGACACATAGCTGTTGGCGAAGGCTAACCCCCAAAACACAGGCTTCTCTAACGCATGAATTGGCCTCTCGAACAAAAAAAAACAGGTGTTACTCTCCCCCACGGTTTTCCACACTCGAAATGACAAAAATTCAACCGACAGAGAGAGACAGAGAGAGACAGCGAGAGAGAGAGAGAGACAGACAGACAGAGACAGATAGACAGACAGACAGAGAGGAGAGAGAGAGACACACACAGAGAGACAGAGAGAAAAGCCAGCCTTCCGAAGCGCCTAATATTGCATCTCGTGCCTCTCACCTGCCCGTTCACGCCACCCACCCCTTGAACTCCTCCCATGTGGTTAACGCCGATCCCCTGCCCGTTCGCGGCGACGCCGTACCCTCCCTGCTCATGCACAAGTTCAGACCACCAATCAAAAAAGCAAACACGATGCTGTTGCAGCTACGAGGTTGTACGAAGGCAATTTTCTTGTAGTGGACTCTTGTGTGTATTGTTGCGGATGTATGCAGCGCTGCTGTTTCTGTTTCTGTTTGGCGGCTTCGTTGACAAAATACCGGGTCCCACCACGATACACGGTAGGTACGACAAAAGAGGCCCTGCTTGTTGGCTGTCTCACGTCAATCACCATGGACCACGACGGCACCTTCGCGTCAAAGACAGGTGCTCGTGTGTGAGTCAAGCCACCCCAACTGGGACACACCAGAGTTCAGAAAATAAACGCCTCGCGATTAGCAATCCGGCCTCTTCGTGGTTCGGAGGGGAGGGTATGTACTCGTGTACACGCATGCCGTATTATAGTCGTTAGACCATTGACCTCGCATCCCTACAATGCCGGGACGGAGCGATATGACGGCCGGCGCGGGCTACGTGCCACAAGGATGACCCAGACGCTGGTCATCATCCTGGCGTTTGCTGTGCCAAACCAGATCTGCCATGGGTTGAATGGGCATCCCGGCTGACCAAACGCTTCACATTCGGCAGGCCCGACTAGTCTATACTTGAAGTTACCGCAAGGGACTTCGATCTTGGCGCGGAAGTACGAAGCTGGCGTGCCACACAACAAGCCTTCCGTGTGCTAGATGCCAGGGTTCTCCAGCACTACAGCCGCTTGCTGACCTGCTGATGTGTTTTAAGTGCGCCAACCCTGCTGGCAACCGGCAACCCCCTCTTTTTTTCCCGCCCCAGAAAAGCGGCAGCAATGCCATGCAATGTGGTTTCGGAATACAACATCTGAGTGAACTCAAGCTTTAGTCTAATACTGGTCTACGAGTCCTCCTGTCACGTAGCTAGCTAGCGGTGCCGTCGTGCACGAAGAGGCTCCCAAGACAAGTTAGCTGGCGGGTACAGCCACGGTAGGCAACTGAAATCGATTTTTACGAACGTCGCGAAAAAACTCAGACGAGGCTGGTGTGGATGTTAATGCATACGAACGACACCGAAAGCACACGCGTCACACAACAACAAGCTCCTCCTCTTCAAAGTAGCAACACGCGCGCTTCCCACACCCTGTTCCCCCGCCTTCCCATGGCATCATCTACCGCGTCGTGGTTGTGCACCCTGAAGCGTTTCTCTCGGACGGACTAACACGTCCCCTCCAAACGTAAATCTCTGTTTGGTCTAGATTATCTAGTCCTCTTCATGCGAAGCTGCTTCTTTGCTTCGATCGCGGCACTACATCCTCACGGCAAAGAACAGCACCGAAAAAAAAGCAAGAGCAATCGCACGCCCCTTCGACCGAGTTCCAAACCTCGGTGCCTCTGCACATATACGGACAGTACATATTATATCCAATAAGGTTGCTCGTTCGCAAAAACCGACCCACACGTGCAAGAGGAGAGCTGTAGACGAACACATCTCCTGAACCACCCTCCCTTTTCGCCGCATCGGGGCGCTGTTCGTCACTCGAGAAATCGAGCTGCCAAAGTCGGTCCGGCTGGCATGCGATAGTGACCCACACGCCCCCTCGGAGTCTAGCACTGCTCCTCGACAGCAGTGGTGCAAATTCGCGGAACGAATGCTCTCCGGGGGTGGGGCAACGACGTGCAACTGAGGCGGGCGTCTCGGCTCCTCCGCAAGGGCAGCCGGAGGGGAAAACATTTGCGCGGTACAGCTAGCACTACCCTGCCTGACCCTGCGGTACATGAAAACAAGCTTCCTCACACAAGGCTCAGAGTTTGCGTGTGTCGTTAGCAGGTAACACCGGCTTCAAGGGGGGGGGGGAGATGTCTCCCCTCCGATGACATTGAGACCGCCGTTTGTGCATCGGGAACGGCTCCGAACCACCCGCCCTGGGGCGAGGGTGTCTTTTGCAGCTCACCCATCGACCTCGTTCTTGTCATCGGAGCAACGTTCGCAAAAAAAAGTACGTGTCCCGGCGGGAAACCAACGTGGCACCCGGGAGACCGGTCTCGCGCCAGAAAGCTATTTAGCTACATAGCCGCCTTTGCACGGCTTTGGGAAAAAAAACATTAGCGGGCCGCGTGCTCGGATGACCAGACACAACGGTCCCCCGAACCCTTCCCAACCAGAGATACCGCGTAAATAGCAGTCTGCGGACAACTCGATGACAGCTGTAACTTTTCTCGAAGGCCTGTAACTACCGTCAGGTGGTTCGCAGTCCCTCGCGGCACACGGATTGCCCCAAAGGCCGAAATTCAAATACCCGAAGACTTGTGGAGGGAAAGACTATTTGTTCACAATAACCGGTACGAGTGACTTGTGGCCAGAATGATATTTTCCCCCACTCCCCAACGCAACAAATAAGCGTTCACGGACACTCCACAGCAGCCAGCCCCACGTCGGCTTCAAGACGCACCACGCCTTCGCATGTATTCGGCAGTGCCACACAAAGACTACACAGGGCGGAGAGGGGTGTTGTGCACGGCAGGTTGCAGGGGCGCCCACGCAAGAGAGGTGCGCGCCGCGCCGGGAGCGGCGATAAGGAGTAAGACTCTTCTTTTCTACTGCTGTACAGCTGCAAACGGCATCCATTAATTCATCCATCCATCCACGGCTCTCTCACGGAGGCAAATTAACCAATCTCCCCCGCCGCCCCACCCCCGCGACAACTTCGACAACTTCGCCGAGAGGGAGGACCGCTGCGCCGAGCCGGATATCGTGAAGTACCAAAAATTCGCGCGCTGTTCCCCCGAAGGCAAAAAAAAACACACACCCGTTCGGTATGCGCATGGATGGACGAAAGGATCCCTAGGGGGAGGGGGGGGGGGCGCAGATACGGCACGTCTTTTTCACTTGGAATATCCGGGGTGCGGACACGCTCACGTAGCGGGACGGGCGCAGGGGTTCAGCCTCACCACGGCCCGATACTTTCTAGACGAGCTTGCTTCTTGGTAGATATTGTACGACATCGAAAACTCTCGCGTGAACTGCTGTGGTGTGTTGCGAGAGGGCTCCGTCGTTCTCCACTCCGCATTTACTGCACAGCAGTGTACCCGGACTGGTACCTCGGGGTTTCGGGGGAGGGGGAGGGAACCTCCAACACTTGACTTGACTGGAGAGAGAGAGAGAGAGAGAGAGAGAGAGAGAGAGAGAGAGAGAGAGAGAGAGAGAGAGAGAGAGAGAGAGAGAGAGAGAGAGAGGACGACGAAAAGTTGACGGATGCAAAAAAATAACGAGCTTCTTCGCCCGCTCCGCCTGTGTCGCCGGAGACGCAGGCTGACTTTCTCTCTTCGTGGGCGGGGATCCAAAACGCACAACGCACGGGCGCGACGAAAATTGGTCGCCTTGGGTAGTACGCTCGGCCCCGATCATCCATTCGAATTAATGTCCGGCTCGGCTTTTCTAACCTGGGGTGAAGGAAGGTCTACCAACGGCGGCACCGGCCCGCTCCTAAGAGCCGTTGGTATTTCGGAGCAAGGCTCATGGTGTCGCAACGACGTAAAACTGCCAAGCTAAAAAATCAACACACAAGGAGGACATACGACCATACGCTATAATAGTGTCGAGAGCCGGAGGTTGGGCCCAATTTCTTACGCCACTCTAAATGCCAGACGTTTCATGGAACCTGGGCCTCGAGGTCTTGCAGCAGTGATCCTTCCGAACGAGCGAGCGAGTTCCCTTGGCACTATTATATTGCGTGCCTATGCATATACACAGGACATGTAGAGAAGATTCAGTGTTACTCTCGAGTGAGGCTCGATCGACGCTCTCTCTCTACAACAGTATTCACTTATGGATATCAGATACAGCTGTATCCACCTCCATGTCTTCAATTGGGCGTGCGTACTCTAGACCATACGATCTGGTGGTATACGGTATACTAGGAACCAACAGCAGTTCAGGCCCCAAGAAGCGATGTGAGAAAGTTGGGTGCGGTGGGAATCGAAATCGAGTGCTGTGTGGCTATCTATTGGCGCCAAAGGCGACAACGCCCCCCTCCGACGTGATGATCTGGCGGCCGAAAAAGGAGGGCGCACTCGCACGAATGAGCGGCTGGGCACGCGCGTGGAGGGTGTGGATAAATCCGACAACCCACCACGCTCCTTCGTGCCATGCACTTTCAGTGACTTCGTTCGAAGTCCAACGAGGGGAACAACACAGGATAGTTAACAACTACTTGTCGGCAAGTGTTTTTTTTTTTTCCCCTCTCGCCCGACATATGCTACGTGCAGAAAAGATTAGCCTCACGAGCACGAGCAGGTGCAGACGAATGAAGTTTCAGGAGAGCTCCCTACAGCGAGCGGACAAAAAAATTACATGTCTACACCAACCAAGAGAAATATTATCTGCTGTGACGTGCATAAGTATCCCATCCATCTCTCTCTTGGGGGACCTGGTGTTGGGCATTCACCTGCGCACAGAAAAAAAGAGCGTGGACGAAAAACGCGTTGGGCGTCCCCCCAACCAACATACCCCAGCAACTTCTTGCCATCGTTAACGAAAAAGTACCCAGGGATGGTCCAAAGAAAGAAGGCCGAACGGGAGTTTTCGATGCCGCCTAGTAAGCGCGAGTGATTTAAGAAAAGACAAGAGTTGCCAGCGCGCGCACCAAACAACAGGCCAAAATAAAGACGACGAGCCTACCCGCACAGCCACGGTTTATGAAAAAAAAAACAGTCGGTTGAGGGTTGCCGCACAGATGTGTATCGAAATAATCGTCGCGGGGGGAGGAAGAGAGAAAGAAGAGATGGAACAGAAAAGTTTGACTGGATTTTCCAGCTCCGCAGCAGCAGGGTCAAATCGAGCATGCTTGTATTGTAGTAGCCTCAAGATATGTATGTATGCAAATGAATCGCGTTCTTACTTCTCTTGTATGATGGGTATGCATACAAAACTCGCGATGCCCACAAACATCCAGCCCGCCCATATGTCATGTC